TTTGTGAAATCAGGCAACGCAAGTATCGGGGCTGAAGTCAGACGCTCCTTAATGATCAAAAACGCTTTCTCAGCCTCGGGTGTCCACTGAAACTTACTCTCCTTAATGCAATCAGTAATGGGGGACATGATGGTGTTGAAGTGCTGAATAAATCGTCGATAAAACGACGCTAAACCGTGGAAACTCCGCACATCAGAAACTGACTGTGGATGTGGCCACTGCCGAATCGTATCAACCTTAGCTGCATCCACCGTTACCCCACCGGCTGACACAACATACCCCCAAAACAAAACACTATCGGTATAGAACACGCACTTCTTAGTGGCTGCAAAGAACTTCTCCTTACGTAAAACAGTAAGGACTTCCCTTAGATGCACACCATGAGACTTCTCCGACCCACTGTACACCAGTATGTCATCGAAGTATACAACAACGCACTTACCAATAAACAGTCTAAGTGCTTGGTTCATCACCCGCATGAACGTGCTCGGTGCATTGGATAGTTCAAATGGCATAACTAGCCACTCAAATAATCCCTCCCGTGTCTTAAATGCTGTCTTCCACTCATCATCAGGACGGACTCTTATCTGATGCTAACCACTTTTCAAGTCCAGTTTGGTAAACACAGTTGCGCCGACCAACTGATCAAGCAAGTCATCTAGCCTCGGTATCGGAAAGCGATAACGAACTATTATTTTGTTGATGGCCCTGCTATCTATACACATCCGATAACTCCCATCTTTTTTTGGCACTAGGAGTACGGGGACTGCACACGGGCTGAGGCTCTCTCTGATGTACCCCTTCTGCACCAACTCCTCTACTTGTCTCCTCAACTCCTCATGTTCCACTGGGTTCATTCGATAATGTGGGCGATTAGGCAATGACGCGCCCGGTACCAAATCAATGTGATGTGTATATCCCGCAAAGGCGGAAGACCCTATGGAAGGTCATTCGGAAACACATCATGAACTTAGACACCAAGGCGGCAGCTTTGGGGTGAAGACCCGTCCCCTCGGCTGCCATAGGAACTGTCGACACTCCCGTTGCCTCAGTTCCCACTAACAACAATACAACACCTTCTGCCAGCATCTCACGCACAAACAAAGATCGGGAAAGTAGATTACTACTGTCCCCTGTCGAAGACAGACACTGCGTATCTTTGGAGGGTAGTAGTACAATCTTTTACCCGAAAAGGTGAATGTATATGCATTTCGACGCCCTTCATGGTACACATCCCTATCAAACTGCCATGGACGACCCAACTACAAATGACACGTATCCATCGGCACCACATCACACCAAACACTATCACGATACACACTGCCAATAGAAAAAGATACCAACACACGGCTAGTAACACGAATTTCATTACCTCGTCTCAACCATGCTAGGCTATAGGGAGCAGGATGAGGTTCGGTGCTTAACTGCAGCTTCTGCACGGTCGCTTTAGATATCACATTTTCGCAACTGCTCGAATCAATGATGAACCTACACACCTTTCCTCCAATGGTACACGTAGACAGAAAGATATTGTTTCGCTGCAGGTCCTCAGACGACCCCTTAGGCGTAAGGCACGCCCGTCGGACCACCGAAAGAGGCCCCGTGTCACCTGTATGCACAATTTCAGCCTTTTCTTTTTCATTCTCCACATGAACAGGATCGTTAATATCGGCTTGTGTTGTCCATCCAATGAACAAACCTGGGCATGGCTGCCCATGAGATGGACAGTCCTTCCTCAAATGACCAAAACCACCACAACCAAAACACTGACTTCCACGCCCTCGTCCACCAAAACATTGATCCCGAGGAAAACATATTTGGGACATCTTGCAAATTCGATCGTAGTCCACCAATATAGCGCGTTACCAACTGGTCTTCTGATTCTCCCACATCATTTCGCGTTATCAGTTGGTAAAACTCTGTGGAATAAACATCTACAGATCGATTGCCTTGTCTCAAATTCTGTAAGCACTGATACAAAGTCCTGGAATAATTAAAGGGAAGAAACGCTACCTTCAACTGTTTCTTCATTTTTTCCCACGACTGAATTTTCGCCTTACCCTGACGGATCCGATTTTACTTCAGTTGCTGCCACCACGCAGCAATACGACCACGCAGACGGGTCGCCACCAAAGGTACCCTTTTATTTGTCGGGCACTTCTTTGTAATCCAAGATCTCCTCTACTACCGCCAGCCAATCGAGGAATTCATCTGCCTCAACTCCACCCTGAACTTCAGGTATATCAACCTTGAATCTGAATTCCCATCGCTGAAACGCGTCCTGCTGTTGAACACGAGGCTGTTGAACATGATCGCCACGTGCCTCTGACAAGGTCTCCTCATCCGACCTCTCCCTGATTCAGATCCACCTCCACCATCACTCATTGGGGCACGATGTGGAGGAGCAGGAGGTATTCAGTTCTGCACAAACTCTGCCGCCCACGTCATGAATTGATCGAATCGGATTGTCAACGCCTCAACTTGATTATGCAGATCTACAACTTCATCAATCTGGCCACCGCGGCCACCACGTCCTCTCCCATGCACCATGCTCTGATACCAAAATGATGTAGATTGAATCTGCAAACACATGACAACAATAACCAAACGGATTGAATTCAGAAACAAACTTTTATTATTTCTTGAACAACCAAGAAAACCCTAGGAGGCGTCTTAAGGCGTCTTGCAGCATCTTAAATATGAAAGAAAAGATAACCTACTGGGCCAGCAGTCCCAAAATGGGCTGGGCTACAAAATGTAAATAACAAATGCTGAAAATAAATAACACAAAAACTTAAAATGCTGTTTTGACACACTAAACGACTTCAAATACCCAAAAACCCTCGTACGTCACAAGGCTGTGAGTTCAATCCGAAATGCTCGCTACCTTTCCGAAATGGGGTTATGGGCCCAAAACGGACACCAAACGCAAAAGTTACATCAATTTCTTTGAAAGCTGACCATCCAACCGTTCCATGTATGCCAATGCCTATTCCTCCATATAAATCTCATCATTAGGGATGGTACCTAGAATGGAATCAGATATCGATTGCTTAATGATTTTCAAATAGAGTTTGTTAGCATTTTCCCACTTTTTATGCTCGGCTACATATTCAACGGTACTCTTATCTGTGGGTTTTTCAAACTTTTTCTCCATGACAAAATCCAAACCCAAAAGACCAAGTGCTATTTCTTCGTCTTGTTTCCATCTTACATAGTTATTCCCAGTCAATGTTTCAATAGCAGACAATTGATTCGAAAGAGATGAGACATTATAAACTGTGGAAACATAAAATATCACACTCAATATCATCCAAACGTAATGCATGCAATCAAATGGATGATGAAATAGCCAACTAATTAATATGGGCTATTAATTAGATAATCCATAATTTAAATCGAAACATATAAATTTTATTACGATAAGAGCCTAGATGCATCATCATAAAGTCACCTTTAGGTCGACAATACAACATGCTATAAGGTACTCTTAAAACACATCATGTAGCTAATCAATAAAATCACATTGGTTTTCGAAATTCCAACACCTTTGGACAGAAGGAAATTTCTGAACCAAAATAAGCTCGTTACTGTCTTATGCCATTTAAAAAAAAAAAAATCACATACAATAACACCTTTGGGTAAGATATTATATGCAATAAATTAGGATTGTTGCGCAACAATATATATACATAATTTTATTGTAGAGAAAACCGAATAAATACTAATGAGTGTGCCACTTTGGCAGCTACCACCCATTTTTATTTCAAAATATTTCTCTCATAGTGGGTAAGTAAGAATCGTCTCAATGCCCATGAAAAATTCAATCACAAAACAGTAATTGTGTAACAAATTATAATTGTCAATTGATGAAAGGTATAAATTCATATGTGATTGAGAAACGAAATTTGCAACAAAATTTCAAAATTTTAGTATACATAAAAAATGAAATTTAAGCAAACAAATAATGGCAACATCTAATTGCATAAACATTTTAATGAAATAATACAAAGGTCGTCAATTAATTTTATTATTTATTCAATATATAAGTTTAATCGGGTCAAGTTTAAATAAAATTTTGAATTGGGTCAAAATTGAAATATTGGAGTAAGGACTTTTAAATACAATTTCAAAATTCAAAATTTAATCACCTTTTGAAAATTGCACTTTGACCCCATGTTTGAAATTAAAACTAGGTCCTCCAGTTTCTTAAATTACAAGCAGGCCCTTCTCTTATTATTTACAAACTTAATCCACAATTTGTAATTGCAAACAGGGGCTAGGAACTTAGCAATTTACAACAGGAGCCCCCGTCTACATCTCTCCCAAAACGACAGAAAATGATTTTTTTTTTTTTTTTGGATTTAACATTCAACTACTCATATTAAACACCACAAAATTCTTCAATTAAAATTGATGCAAAAACAAAGGCCTCCAATGGAAAGTGTAAGAATTTGGAAGCCATCTCCAACAACAGGAATTTTCCGTTTCAAGCTTTTAATTGGAAAAGTAATTCTACTAACACCCATAGCAGCAAGATGTGAAAAACTACTCGGATTTTTCTATTCAAAACACAATACAAAACCAGATCCTACCATAGGTTTAATTTAAATTTATATGAACTATGCTTTTCAAAGTAAAAATTATAAGGAGGAAAGAGGGAAAGCATTCATTGTCCATCCATTGTATATATATAAAAGGAGTAGAGAGAGGGAAAGCATTTATTGTTCCTACCTTTATTGTTTCTGCGGGTTACTCCACCACGTGAAGGAAATACGAATTAATTCAATGGCAGATATAATTTTAATGTATGCACAGAAGACGTTTTTCAAAGTGAGATAAGAGAAAAAAATTAATAAAATTTCGTGAAGGATCTCGATCTTAACATGCTGCTCTGATACCAATTGTTGATATTTAGTTTTAATTATGTTAAGAATCGATAATCACAATCCAATAAATTAATAGAAACGAATTCATACCTGCAGAAACCATTGTTGATATGAATTATAGTTGTAATAGTAGCCAAGATCTTCCCCTCCTTGCTCCTCACAAAAGTATTAGCTCTCAATGGGGCAAGCTAATGAAATATATGGAGAGGAGAGGTGACCTAGCCTTTATATATAGGAAATAATTTGAACCGTCCCTTACGACTAGAATTCTAATTATGGTTTATTTCCTGCCCACATACTTTAAATTACCACATCAAATTAATTACAACCCGTGAGGTGTAAAAGGCTCAATTGATCACTTAATAAATTTGGCCCAAACACAAATATTATTATGAGCCATATATCTAACCCGTAAAATTTTGCAATTGAATGTGAAGCCCACATATGGAATTATTAATTATTCCAACAAAAAATGCACCAATTTTAGAGGTGATTCAGTAGCTTGTACGACAAAATCAATTTAGAGAATAAGATAATTCGCAAAAGAACAAATTATAAAGATAGCAACACTATGATCATCTAAAAAATGA